CTATGCTGCTGGTTGCTGCCACTTTCATCATGGCTAGATCCTAGGCTTTCGGTGCATTTCACTTCCTGATATGCTACAAGTGGTATCGGAGCTAGTGCAGTGAATCTTGGCGACAACCAATCAATCGATTGATTGATTGGATTGGCGGATTGCCACCAATCAATCTTCGATTGATTGATCAGTCAATCAGGAGATCGATCGAACAATCGATCAATCAACCAGCAATCATCTGAGATTGACTGATTGATTGATTGATTAAGTTGATAGATTATTTGGCAATTTCTTATTTAATCTTGGAAATCTCCCGGAATTAATTATTTCATTTAATTTTTTTTTCGAGATTTTTTTTTTTTTAATCTGAGAATTCTTTTTGCGAGAATTTTTCTTCTTTATTTAATTATTAAATATTGTCTGCATTTTGACAATTTCGCGATTCTTTTGAAACTATCCCTCTACACTTTCACTGCGTAGGTCTGCAAATTCCGTTCTTTTTTTCAAAAAAAAAAAAAAAAAAACGGCATTCTTCTCTTTTTGCAACCTACTCCTACTCTGAGTTTGTAAAGATTCCTCTTTTTCTGATGACCTGCAGCCCGAGCACTTAAGGTTCACATTTGCCTTCAGCATCACCTTCGGTACTCCGTGGGATTGGGCAGTCTTTTTCGAATTTTTGATTTTTTTTTTTTTTAATCAAAATTAATTATTTTTTTGATTAGGAGACTTCCATTTTTGGATCTGTCCGATCTTTCCCACTTGTGTGCCGCCTGCCTACCTGTTCCTCCCCCTCCAGTCCGGGTACTGGGCCAGTCCATCTGATTGGCCCACGGGTGACTCTTCACACTTCGGGCACGACAGTGCATGCCACTGCTCACTCGATCACAAACCAAGGCCATGGACCGGAAGGCGGGAGAATCCCTCCTGGCCTACGAGGAACGCCTGGCTGCATTCATCGAGGAGGCCAATGATAGGGCCGCCACCACGGCCAAGGAACGTAAGTGGATCGAGCAAGAAGAGGAGGCCAAGCGACAACAGGAGGAACAGGACCAACTTCATCAAGAGGAGGCAGACCTGCAGGCTGCAGCTGAACACCGGTCACGCCAGCGGGAACAATTGTTCACGCGGGAGACCGTGATCGGCGATGAGACCACACATTGGGTGGAAATGGCATCTCCGGACGAGGCCTCGGAGACAGACAAAGGGCTGTCAGCCGTTGTGCAGATCTTCCACGACCTCATGGCCACCTGCGCTCTGCAGCATGAGGAAATCCTTCACCTGCAGCAGACAGTGGACCAGATGTTTGTACGGCTGCAGGCGTTGGAGAAACAGCCAGTTGCTGCAGCAGCCGCAGGGCCTTCCAACCTTGCCACCCGTGTTCAAGTTTTGGAGGATGATGTCAATAACATCAAGCGCGTGCATCAGGACTTCCGGACGTCACAGCAAGCAACAAACTTGCAGTTGGAGACGCAGGTCCAGGCTGCTGCTACCGTGACGCCCACGGCCGCATCCTCCCGACGCCCACCCAAACTGGATGACCTTCCAGTTTTCTGCGATCAGTCCAAGACGGACCCGATCCCGTGGTGGCGCCAGTTCACTCTCAGGCTCGACATGCACCATGTCCTGAACAACGATCGACATGCGTGCTTGTACCACCGATCTGGTGGTGCATGTCAAGCATGGCTGGACAACATATTGACCAGCCACGGCGTAGCAGTGTCGGAACTGCACACCAAGCTCACTTGGCAGGAGCTGACTGACGCCTGGCACAAGCGATTCCAAGTGGAGCCGCCCGACTTGCAGGCGATGGAGAAGTTAAACAAGCTCCATCAGAACTCGCTCCTTAGCCAGGACTGGATTACCGAGTTCCAAAGACTCGCCTCCACACCCGACCTGCCGCTCGCATTCCGCGGCATCAAGCACTTGTTCATCATGCGCTCGTGTCCAGCCCTGCAAAACGCGCTGACGCAAATTGCAGAGACACTCAACACGTCGGACAAGCTTTTCAGCACAGCGTCACGGATCATTCTCAGGAATGTAGAAGCCCGCAACGCCGTCCGATCTTCCGCGACGTCGAGCAACAACCAGCCCAAGCCAAAGGTGGCTTGCATTACGGAGACTTCGCCAACTTCTTCTACCGAGGCTGCAACACCAAACGAGGGTGACGTGTTGGCAGCTTCCCGGGATGGTGGCCGGCCGCACAACAATCACGGCCACGACAAGACGAAGACTCAGTCCACCTCTTCACCAGGCGCCGGATCAGCAGGCGACGAACCTTGGCTCCAATACGGACTCTCGGCGAATAGCTACCGCACGAGACTCAAGTACCATTATTGACTTTGGTGCAACAGCACCATCCACGATGCTGCACATTGCCCCACCAAGGGGAAACCCCGTTCAGGAAAATCAGCGCCGCCGAGGGTGACTCGACACCTCCCTCGACGCCATTGGAAGCGGTTGTGCACACGACCACCCTTTCTTCCGAGGCATATGCGGATGTCGGGAGTCTTCCACTTTCGTTCGAAGACTTCGCTGCCCGGCTCGTTCTTTCGCAAGACGCTTCTCAAGGACAAGATACGTGTGCGGCTTTCTCACCGTCCGAGGGTTCTTCTGTCAATTCGTCTTCATCAAGGGATTCGGCAAGCGTGTTCAACGAGGAGGTCTTGGACCTGCTCACGCCCGAGGATTTCACTTGGGTTCCTCTCCCTACGACGGGCAGCCTTCCGAGGCCGCAAAGCGCAGCACTATGCGCCCTCTTACACGAGTATCTTTCCTTCCATGCACCACCAACTTCGCCGACGGTAGACTAAGTCGCGGTGGGGTACATGCTTGGCTATGTTGCCAAGGTGGCCCGCGAGTTTGTCTCGCAACGATACGAAGAAAACAACGCATCGTTGCTCTACGTCCGCATTCAAATTGGGCAAGCGGCCTGCAACGCTTTGCTAGATTGTGGCGCAACTCGCAACTTCATCAGCCAGTCCTTCATGACTCGGGCTGGCCTTGGTGCACAAGTACGGAGGAAGTCACATCCGACGACGGTCGCTCTTGCGGGCGGTAAGATGAAACAACTCTTAGACCGTTACATCTCGGCTGTCCCGGTGTACTTTGCACCACACTCATGTGAACCCGTCACTTTTGACATGTTGGACACCGACTTCGATGTCATTTTGGGGATGCCTTGGCTTTCTAGCGCGGACCACACGGTCAATTTCCATCGACGCACGCTCACGATTCGTGATGCCACTGGCGTCGAGGTCCCGTGTACTATTCCTCCTCCTCGCTCTTCCATTCGGTGCCAAGTCGTGAGTGCCAAATCTTTTCGAGACACGTGCCGTTTCGAGCACATTGAAAAGATTGGCATCGCGTTTCTTCGAACCGTCCCTACGACCGACTCCTCGTCCACGGATTTGTCTTCCGACCCCCGTGTGACCCGGTTTTAGGACAAGTTCTCTAATGTGTTCGAGACTCCCTTCGGTATAGTGCCGGACCAGTCGATCTCTCACGAGACCATTCTTGAGGCCGGCGCCGTGCCACCTAAGGGATGCATTTACCGCATGTCCGAGGAGGAGCTCACGGTTCTCCGCGCGCAACACGACGATTTACTTGACAAGGGTTGGATCCGCCCTAGCAGCTCACCTTACGATGCGCCCGTGCTCTTCGTCCGGAAGAAAAACAAGGACCTTCGACTTTGCATTGACTATCGACGCCTCAATGCGCAAACCATCAAGAACGCGGGGCCTCTACCTCGCATTGACGATTTGCTTGAGTGTCTGCTGGGCGCTAAGTATTTTTCAAAGTTGGACCTCAAGTCGGGCTATCATCAGATTTCCATCCGCCCGCAAGATCGGTACAAAACCACGTTCAAGACGCGATATGGGCATTTTGAGTGGGTAGTTATGCCTTTTGGCCTCACCAATGCCCCGACCATCTTTCAGGCGGCCATGACCATCGAGTTTCGCGCTATGTTGGACCGATTTGTCTTGGTCTACTAAGACGACATCCTCGTCTATAGCCGAACTCTCGAGGAGCATCTCGAGCACCTTCGCCGTGTTCTAGAGACTGTTCGGTCAGCCCGGTACAAAGCCAACCACGACAAATGCGAGTTTGTCCGACAAGAGCTTGAATACTTGGGTCATCTTGTACCCCCGGAAGGCATTCGTCCGTTGGGGGACAAGATTCAAGCCATCCGCGACAAATGCGAGTTTGTCCAGCAAGAGCTTGAATACTTAGGTCAGCTTGTACGCCCGAAAGGCATTCGTCCGTTGGCAGACAAGATTCAAGCCAACCGCGACAGATGCGAGTTTGTCCGGCAAGAGCTTGAATACTTGGGTCATCTTGTACCCCCGAGCATTCGTCCGTTGGCGGACAAGATTCAAGCCACCCAGGAGTGGCCCGAGCCGAAGAATGTGACGGACGTCCGATGCTTGCTCGGCTTGGCCGGTTATTATCAGCGCTTCATGAAGGGTTACTCGAAGATCGCGGCCAACCTAAGCAAGCTACAAAGCGAGGAGCGACCTTTTGACTTCGACGACGATGCGCGCCATTCTTTTGAAACACTCAAAGCGGCACTATTGTCCGCTGAAGTGTTACACATTTACGACCCACTCCTAGCTACGCGCGTCACCGCCGATGCATCTGGCTATGGCATTGGGGCCGTCCTTGAGCAGCACGATGGCACGGACTGGCACTCGGTCGAGTACTTTAGCAAGAAAGTGCCTCCCGCCCATTCGATCGACGACACACGAAAGAAGGAGCTTCTTGCCTTCGTCCACGCCCTCAAGCGTTGGCGACATTTCCTCCTTGGTCGGAAAGCATTCCGATGGGTAACGGATAACAATCCGTTGGTATTCTACAAGTCACAAGACACGATTAATAGTACCATTGCCCGTTGGATGACTTTCATCGACCAGTTTGACTTTTTCCCCAATCACATTCCCAGGAAGTCGAACCGTTTTGCGGACACCCTCTCACGACAACCGGATCTTTGCACCGCAGTCTACTCTACCTTCGAGATCGACGACGACTTGCGGGAAAGTTTTATCCGCGGCTATCGCGCCGACCCCGACTTTCGCGACAAGTACGCGAATTGCTCCTCTCAGAATCCGGTGCCTTCGCATCATCGGATCCAAGAGGGCTACTTCCTTGTGCATTCAAGGGGTAAGGATCTTCTTTGTGTGCCGAGTGATTCACACTTGCACACACAGCTTCTTGGCCAGTTTCACGATGTGGCTGCCTCCGGACATTTTGGTGTCAACCGTACACGTGGCCGACTTCGCCAGCGGTTCTATTGGCCCGACCTTCTCAAGAACGCCACCCGCTATTGTGAGTCGTGCGAAGTATATCGGCGTTGCAAGTCATGCAACCATCGTCCGTTCGGCGAGCTACACCCATGACCAGTTCCCCTTGGACGACGGGAAGCGATTGCTATGGATATCATCGGCCCCTTCCCGAAGCACAAGACCGACGTTGATGGGATTCTCACGGTCGTCGACCGCCTCACCAAGTACGCCATGTTTTTGCCTTGCCGCTATCACGCAAAAGCACCGGAGTTAGCCGAGGTCTTATACACCGGTTGGATTCGCTCCAAGGGCTACCCCAAGGAGATCATTTGCGACCGGGAAACTCACTTTCTCTCCGACTTTTGGGTCGCCGTCATCAAGCGATGGGGCTCATCTTTGAAGCCGAGTTCGGCTCGCCACCTGCAAACCGATGGTCAAACGGAAAGGATGCATCAGACTGCCCAAGTCCTTCTACGCACTCTCATCCATCCTGACCAGGTTGATTGGGCTGAGCGATTGCCAAACGTCGAGTTCGCTTACAACTCATCGATCCATCCGGCTATTGGGATGTCGCCATTCGAGTTTGAGCATGGTTCACCCATCTCATCGCCGCTGGACGCCATTTTGCCGCGCACAGCCGAGAGCGACGACCATCTTGCATTCCTTCGTCGCATGCAAGAGCTCCTTGTCAAGGCACGGAATCACATGTCAAAGACACAAATACATATGAGTTGTCAAGCCAACCACAATCGTCTCCCTTGCCCGTTCCGCGCCAGCGATCTGGTTTGGGTCTCCGCCGCGGAGTTCAGCCTTGAACAAGACATCTCTCGCAAGCTCCTTCCCAAGTGGATGGGGCCTTGGCGCATTCTCTCTGCAGTTGGTGATGATCCCCAAGGGCCTTCATTCCGCATCGCGGTGCCACCTCACTTGCCCGTCCACCCGGTGTTCCACTGTTCCAAATTCGCTCCTTTTGCTTCAGCGGAGTCCGACGAGTTTCCCGGCCGACGTACGCAAGACCCTCCTTCCATGGACGGATGTCATGAGGCCGGCTATATCATCACCGAGTGGCGCCATGGCAACAAAGAGACGGAGTTTCTACTTCACGTCTCCTACTGCAGCCACAAGGTTGACCGTTGGCTGACGCGTTCGGAACTGCAGGCCACAGCTCCCACCGTTCTCTCACGTTATCTTAGCAAAGGGAAGACTACGCCGAGCACTCCAGCTCCTCGCCATCCTCGCTACATTCCGCCATCGGATCGGCAGCTTCGCCCGCGCCCCGGCTCGTCTTCATAAGGAGGGGGGCGTGTTACATGCTGAGAGCCTACACACGGGCCCCTCACATGACCCGAGGTAGGAATAGGGCCCCCAGGTCGCGTCACCGCAACCTGAAGGCCCTATGGCATTTTTACTTGGGCCTGCATCAGAAAAACGCTAGCTTTAGATTATTTTTATATTTTTTTATTTATTTATTGCTGCTGTTTTCTAACCTGTGTGCTGTTGTCCGTTTGTGGCCAGGTACACGTTTTGGGCCAAGGCCAGATTCAGGCCCAGAGGCTGAGCCTCTAAAAACGTTTGGACCTTTTNTGTGTGCTGTTGTCCGTTTGTGGCCAGGTACACGTTTTGGGCCAAGGCCAGATTCAGGCCCAGAGGCTGAGCCTCTAAAAACGTTTGGACCTTTTTTTGTTTTCGGACAGATTTTGGACCATTCGGACCTGGACCGACGTTYAGGCCCGATGCATTCGCACAGGCCCTGAATCAGACCAGGTACCGAACAGGCCCAGTTCTGGGCAGGGCCTCGACGTCCGGTAGGGACCCAGGCAGGCCGTTTTAGGCCAAGGACTGAACCAAGTCCGAAGCCTGTGATCTGGACCGTGGATCGGATTTCGATCTGCACGGTCCAGAACGAAGGACGTGGACTCACTGGGTCCGGCCCAGCGCTACTTAAGCTGGGCCAGCGCCCAGTTCTGGACAGAGGACACAAGGAGAAACCCAGCGTTACGCTGGTTCAGGACTTCGCCTGCTGCGCTATTTTGGAAACCGCCGGCTGCGCTATTTCGAGACTGCCGGCTGCGCTGTTCTTCGACAATGTGGCACAGCGCTGGAGGAGTCCAGCGTCGAGGAGGTTAGTGGAGTTCAGAGAGAGAGTGAGAGAGAGAGAGAGAGAGAGAGAGAGAGAGAGAGAGAGAGAGAGAGAGAAGAGGGACTTACCTGTCGCGACTTACCAGCGCCATAGCTGGGCTCCCGCGGTACCTGCAGTCAGCACCCAGGTCAGTAGGATCAGAAAGCGCCTAGCTTTCTTTTTCTTCTTCTTCTTCTTCTCCTCCGAATTCTTCTTCTTCTTCTTCTTCTTCTTCTTCTTCTTCTTCTTCTTCTTCATCAGAGTAGAGATAGAGGTAACTGCAGACATTGTTTGGACACAGCATTCTGCCATATTGGACACGACATTCAGATCGGACTTGTACTCAACATTGGGATTGAACTGTGTACGACATTCGGAGATCTCTCTCGCATGTCTATGGATCTCTCCCCATGTGTGTGAGCGGAAGGGCAATCTTTCTGATGTCTTGCCCTTCCGAAGTTTCTCTCTTGCATGTTTGTCTGTCCTCGTGCCCTTTGACTATTAAGACTTCCGCTGTGCTGCTTCCCAGCCCATGATGATGATGATGCGAATGCGTGGTTGTTGATTTCTCGTTGGTTTACTCTTTGCATTGTGCACACTGGCATCTTGTGAATGTTGCATCTATGCTGCTGGTTGCTGCCACTTTCATCATGGCTAGATCCTAGGCTTNGGTTTACTCTTTGCATTGTGCACACTGGCATCTTGTGAATGTTGCATCTATGCTGCTGGTTGCTGCCACTTTCATCATGGCTAGATCCTAGGCTTCCGGTGCATTTCACTTCCTGATATGCTACAGTGTGTGTGCGTGTGTGTGTGTGTGTGTGTGTGTGTGTGTGTGTGTGTGCGCGCGTGTATGTGTGTGTGTGTGCGTGCGTGCGTGTGTGGGTGTGTGTGTTCTGTGTGGACGAGTCCTAGTACGTACGAGTGTTGTTATATTCGCTGTACAGAACTCGCAAAATAACTTAGCCAGACTGTTTCCACCGACTGATCACAAGTTTGAACTTCCACCAACCGATCACAAGTTTGAACCTCAACTGTCCGCCCAAGACGAACTGCACTGATGACCAAGGATTCACCATGTTTGCGTGTGTGTTTGTGTGTGTGTGTGCATGTGTGCGACGTGTGTGCGTGTGTGTGTGTGCGCGTGCGTACGTGTGTGTGTGTGTGTGTGTGTGCGCGCGTGCGCCTGTGTCCAACGTAGAGCGAAGTCATAGTCGAGCATAGCAGCATAGAAGTGGGTAGAAGTCGAGCGTTGTAGCCTATGGTATGAAAGTCCAAGTCGATTGGAGGGCAGGCGTGGTTGTGGGCCATGTGTTTTTTCCCGCACCGCCTCCCAAAATCGGAAGAAGTTTGTTACGTGTGGCCGCTTGGCGCTGGCCTAACAACGTCCGACATCACTGGTGCCAGTGCAAGGGCCCAGTGCCTTGTGTGGCACGGGCTCTGGTGCGTGGGACCTGTACCAAGTGTGGTGCCAGCACTGGCGTGCATGACCAGTACTGGCCCTGGTGACGCTTCAACTTCTAAGAAAAACCGATCAGCAGACGATCGAGACCATCGCGCAGCAGAGAAACAGAGGACCCGATCGTCCGCTTGTCATAGGCAGGAACTTAGTGATAGTTATATATGTAGTGATTCAGACAATGAGACACATTGTTGGCTAAAGACCCAAGCCCGAATGACACCTAAGTTGACGAGGTGGGTTGGGGAGATGGATCAGTTTGACTTTGCACTTAAGCTAGTAAAGGGGCAGCATAATGTCGTTGCTGATGCACTAAGTAGACGAGCTGATTTCTTCGATGCCTAGTAACATATTTGGATGCAGGCGACGAGTTACAAGAAATGATTAGATCTGCTTATGTTAATGATCATGTCCGTAGTCAATTCATTAACAACGTGCAGACGGCACCACACGAAGTTCCGGAGGATGGCCAGAGGACTGTTTTCTAAACCACCCGTACTTCCTAGAGTCGTGCCCGTTAAACCACCAGTACCTGGCCCAGCCAAAAAAAAAGGTTTGCGGCCGTTACGCGCCACAACTTCCGGGGTTCAGCAAAGGCTCGGCACTAGAATTGGTGAAGAAGCTGCTGGACCCAAGGACCAGAAATCGGTGTACTTTCGCCGTGCATGTTTCCACATGCAGGGACGCTCCAGCTGCAACTATAATACAAGCTCCCAAAAAAAAAAAAAACACGAACATTCCAGATCACAGACATTTTCTCAAGATGTATTGGTCCTTCAATGGGGGACCATACATTCGAAAGGAGAACTCATGAGAGCACTGTGTCCTTTTGTAACGTGCAGCGCTCATCATCACGGAGGAAACAGTGCTCCCGTAACTTCTGGATTCGAATGTAAGGTCCCCTATTCATGGAACGATACATGCCGAGAAAAATGCCTTGGCTTATGCAGTACATGGAAAGATGTGAAGAGAAAAGAAAACAACCAATTTCAGGACGTTTTCATGCAATGATTTTTGCAACCGTATCGGGACTTGATTAGGGCAATATGCATTCTATAGTATGAGTAATGTGGCTTGACATTTTTTGCGTTTTGTTTTTTTTCCTCCTTCCAACAAAAAACAAAATATTGGTTGCATCTGATCTGCCTCCCCGTGAGAAACGGGGAGCATTGAAGTTCTGTCAGCGAAGGAAAGTCTGACACTCCACTTGCACCAAAGACAGATATATGCCAATGCATCTGTCCATGTTCTAGTGCACGATCCAATATCATTTTGCACATTTCAGGAGTGCTGAATCAACGCCCATATGTTCTTTTTTTTTTTTCATTTTTTTTTTACGAACCGTCTTTGGCGTTTCTGATGGGAACTCCTCGTGAGAGACGGTAAGTAAATAACTGAAAGTTGTCGTTTCACGGTTGTGCTCTTTCTTTTTCTTTTTTCCCCCAAGGACTGCTCTCTCCACTGAGCTTGTGGCCACTCCCAGGTTGCTGCACGAGTGAAAACAATGGCGGTACCAGTGCCACTCCACAATACATCCCAAATTCGTTCCCTTCCCCTCCAGGTTCGGCAGCCCTTGGCCCGCAGGCAGAAATGAGGATCGGGCCTCAACAACCGGTAGGTACTGGTGGTGTAACATGCCACAATTTTAGGAAACGTACAGGATACTACAGGAGCACCCAACGAATTCGTCCGACTAGAAACGTTTCTATTCTATTTTTTTCTGCGACCGAAAGTTGGGCCAAGTAGTGGTGGTTTAAGAAGACAGATGTGGAAGACAGACTATGCATACCGAATAATGAGGAGCACATTCGTTGGAGGAAGACGTATGCTAACCTCCTACGTTCCTACACGTGGATTGGAATGAAACATGCCTGCATAGCATATGTGCAGGGCTGCAAAGTGTGTCAAAGGAACAAGAGTACCACGCAGCCTCCCCTCAGTTTACTTAGATCGCTGCCTATACCGCCGGCTCCCAAAGACTTTGTGTCTATAGACTTTATGGACACTAAGATGAAAAGTAGAAATGGGAAAAGCTAAGTTATGGTGATAGTGACAGGTTTAGCAAGTTCGCAGTTTTTGTACCACTCCCTACTGAAGCTAGGACAGACTTAGTGACTCCAGAGTTCTTTAATCATTGGGTGCAGAACAGCGGGCAGTTTTTGTACCACTCCCTACTGCAGTTTTTTATACACGATTCACGGGCAAGCACTGCCAACAACTCATGAAGGTCTATGGGTCCAAAGTAACTATGTCTTCAGGAAGACACCGTAAGACAAACGGACAAACAAAGCAGATGAATAAGGTAACACAACAATTGTTGCGTATGTATATTGGGCCTTATCAGATTGACAGGGATGAAGACTTGGCCAAGGTCACTAGGGGCTACAACAATTATATGGATCTATCTACAGCAAGAACGCCCATTGAACTGCATTTGGTATGGCGCCCACGCAGAGCCGTTGACTGCATGAAATGTGATCAGGTGCAATGGCCTCCTCTAGGAACTAGAGATTTTTTTGTGCAGTATGAAAAGAACTTCGAGAAAGTCAAGGAAAATATCCAAAAGGCATAGCATCAGATGATAGAACAGGGGAATAAGCACCGCAGACATTTGTAGTTTGCTGTAGGTGATTTGGTCTGGGTGAAGTCTAAACACTTTCTCCCAGAGGAGAACCTCTCTCAAAAGTCATTGCCTGCATATAAGGGACAGTGGCAGATTCTTGACGTGGATGGTCCTTCCTACGTTGTTGAGATTCCTCGACATTCGCACACTTACCCGGTGTTTCATGCTTCTTAGCTACTCCCTTGTGAAAATAATGATTTGTTTTCGTCTCGAAGATAAATGATTCCTCCTGATGTGGATGGCAAGTATGACATGGACCGCATCGTAGCTGAGGATGTCCCCAATGACAGTATAAAGTCAGACTCGCTTATCAAGAACCTTCAGAAGATCGTTGGCTTACTATCGTCTTCCCCCAAACATATCGCATATACGTTGTATTTGAGTTTTCCAAAAAAAAAACGGTTTTCGAAAAGTTACACCATTTTCTATTACAATACTACACACATGCCTTACATTCGAATTTCACC